TTTCTTAACATAAATAGTTTTAAAATATTTACAATATTTTAAGGAATTCAAAAGTTATTGAACAATCCTCTGCACACTATATCAATAATACTTCGGTATGTTATTTTTTTTGAAAAAAAAAAAAAAAAAAGGATAAAGGCACCCCCCCCCCAAACAACCCCCCCCCCCCCAAAAACCCCCCCCCCCCCCCCCCCCCCCAAAAAAAAAAAAACAAAAAAAAAAAAAAAAAAAAAAAAACAATAGGGAAAGATTTTTAAAAAGTTGTTGTTATAAAGGAACAGTCATCATTCATCACAGTTTCACATCAGTAAAATTTTCTCAAATTTCTCAACAACGTCCTGATCAGATTTAGTTAAATTATTAAGTTTCAATTTAAATATAAATATATACAAGGTCGGGAAAAAAGTTTCTTCGTAATTTATTTGTACAAAATTGAATCAAAATCTCTTAGATTGTACTGTTTATATCTGACTGGTTTTAATATCAATACATATAGGACATTAAGAAAAAGAAAAAAAAGTAAAAACACATTCCCGTCCTTTTTGAATTGTTTTGCGTCCGCCAAAACGAGTGAATCTAACGAAGAAATTCGACACATTCTGAAGTTTTTATTACAAAATAGGGAAAAATGCGACTCAATACTACTCACTCAATACTACAATGTATACATTGATATGTATATTTTAAATACTTTCGAATATTTTATATATACTCTACATGTACTCGTATCACTATGATTATATGATATTTTACTACACCTCGAAAATTTAGATAGAAGAGCTCTTTTTCCAGAAAATTAAAGAACCTACTTAGGTATCACATCACCTAAGGTATTTCTGCTTATAAACAATCAATCAATCAATCAATCAATCAAACATTTATTAATTCATAAGCATGGGTATTACACTACGCCTACCGGTACGAGGCTGCCACTCGAGAACCTTTCTTCCCCATCGGTTATCGGTTCTTCGAGCTATATGGCCGGCCCATTGCCACTTCAGCTTACTAATCCGTGTAGGGCGACCCCCCACTAGATGGAGTGACGACCTGGTAAGATATGCAGGAAGTCGATGGATGCAGGTGGCTCAGGACCGTGCTTTGTGGCATTACTTGGGGGAGGCCTATGTTCAGCAGTGGACTTGTGAAGGGCTGTGATGATGATGATGATGATGGGTATTACAGGATGTCACATATAAAATTATTATAAGATACAGCCATGTTTCACCTTAGAGGTATATGAACAAAATTGAAGTATATTTTTACATTTTGTCATCAAAAAAATATTCTTATGTCATAGTACACTTTTTCAACAAGGAAGCCATTGAGCGCAGTTTTAAATCTTTTGATATCATTAATTAATCGTATATTTAACGTGATTTTATTATAGATTTTTGGTGCCATGCAATTTACACACATTCTTCGAAGAAGTGGTTTGCATTTGTGATTAACTTTCAATGTTCCTTCACGACGACTTCCGGAAGTATTCATTTCAAAATAAATTGGGTTATTTCGAACAAAGTTTGCAACCTCATATATATACATACACGGTAGAGTCAGAATTTTATATTTGCGAAAGTACGGTTCACTACAATAACAGGAGTGCATCTACTGTTATATTCAAGTTTTAAGGGTAAGAGAGCCAGTATTAATACAGGCTATGAGGCATTCCCTTAAACGCTTAGTCTTCAACGATGGCAGCACATCTGTAGCCTTTTTATTTGAATTTGGTGGTGGACTCCAATGGTAAACTGGCATATACCATATAGCTACTTACTATCACGTGGACTGTTAACTGGTGTAATATACTAATATAATAAAAATCGCCTGCTATATATCTTAATTATATTAAAAAAACACACATGTGCACTTCACTGTCACATGTCATAACGGACCACATTGTTATCGGACGGAAATACAAACGCTGGCAACTTATTCCACTCCTTTGCTATACGCATGTATCTTTAATACGAGTACAACTTAAAAATGCAGTAAAATGGGTCCTCATTTCACTCCCAGACAGCTCAAAGTTTAATACTGCATGCTTCTATTTACCACTAATATTCTGTACGAGCGTGGTCCTTCCCTGAATGAGCCGACATATTCGTATCGCAGCCTTAGTGCTTAGTACACATACGTGGGATATTAGAAGCTCGGCAGTGATCTGATTCATGATAGTAGTCACGAAGTACATTATATACACCAGGCTCAGCCGAATAGCAGTCGCGTTGGCGTCGAGTCCTGGAGACCAAGCTTTTATAGTTTTACGTTGCTATAATAAGAATACAGTAAGTATAACAAAATCAACAAAAAGTATTTAAAATGTTACAACAAATATGTGTTATAAAACGAAAAAATATATTTCCATGCTAAGCACTTTTCCCCTATCATAAGTGTCTTACGTAAAAACTACACATAGGGTAACGTTCTAGTTCAGAACAATTATTTGTAGGCATTACAAATAGTTGTTCCGAGTGGGAATCAAATCCACGACCCCCAACGCTGCAACCTACCGGTAATTCAATGAACTACTGAGCTGTGTCTTCATGCTTAAGTACACGATAAATGAACGCGCGAGGAAGACCAAATTGTTCTTACAAAAATACCAGTCTCGTTACGCGTTAGATTAAATTGAGCTTTATGATTTTAGAAAGCTGGTTCATTGACTTATGTGCCAAGCGAACTATTATTTATCTTGCATAAGAATACCTAGTAAATTTCCTTTCCTTGTGATTTTCAGTAATTTGAAAATATAATCATTATTGTTTACTTAACAAAATAAATTATTTATTATCTCAGTAGTCCTTTGCGCGCAATCAATACTCCTTTGTGAAATAATATAGTGTTGCAAGTGCAATATGCGCGCACTTGCAGCATTATATATTTACAGATATGTTAATAGAGTCCAACTTTCGGGTGTTTTTCACCATCATATGTAAAAAATGACATTTATACAATTTTAGAAGGATTTATTATAGTCCTTTTCTATATCCATGATTTAAAAAAAAACAGCTAAAGAAATAAAAATGTGATGTCACGCGTACTCTAAAGCATAATGTAAGATAACTAAAAGTTTAGTTTAGAGTAGCGTGTACATGTAGATATATGGATGTAAAGGAGGCGAGACAGGTATGTCAGGATCATGCCAAATGGAAGTCCGTAGTCTCTGCCTACCCCTCTGGGTAACAGGCGTGAGTGTATGTATGTATGTACCTACATCACGTCTGCAGGGGTGTAGGTCTGCCAAGTAGTGGCGCTCACGGAGGGCTTTGTATGGCCAGTGGCATGTGCGCCTAAGCCGTGTGACGCGTACATTCACTCTGGCTGGATTCGATCCTAATCTGTATGACGTTTGCACGCATTGACGGTCCATGTTTGTACTTACCGGTTTCCAACTTTTCGTTTTTACTTAATTGGGGCTCATTGCACACGGCATTGATCTGTGTGAGGCCGTATGCCATGTTTAAAAATGTGGGAAAGCGAATCTCTTGCATCGGATACTTGTATGTAAATATTGGGAGCCTATCCAAGCGGTAAAGGGTTAAATAAAAGATTATAAGTAAAGGACTTCTGTGACAAACTGATACAAATGGAATAGGAACGAATTAAATTTTTTAACATTTTTATCCATATCTTTGTGAACGTGTTACTTAAGATATAAGTATATATACCAGATGGCCATTTATTTATATACAGGAGGAGGGAGCGTTACAGTGGCGTACTATTCAAATTAAAACCCCAAGATAACAGGAAAAAGTATTTTGAGTGGATTCATTACAGCAAATGCTTGACACCGACACAGAGCAATAATAATTTTGCTACTGATATTATCAAGAGCCACGCTTATTTTACCTATAAGTTGTATTGTTTGTTGTTAATGTTGATTTTACACCTGCTCTTAAGTAAAAACTCTATTCAGTCGCATTATCTTCCATGTTTAAAACAAAAACACTTACACAATATTGCCTTCCCCTTTACAGTGCTTTCGAGTTTCCACAGTTAGGACGACTTTCTTCATCTTCAGATAAGGTTTCATTTAGGTTCAAAGTATTATCAATAGGATCAAAAGTGACATAATTATTAATTGTAGCATAACAGGAAGTACGAGGAATAGTCCTGGATGGGAAAATACTCAATTTGTGGAAGGAAATGTGCAGGATGTCTGTGGAACTAGATTGTGTAATTTCATGTGTAGCTGCTTATCCTCTAAACATTTACCACCATCGATTCCCGTAAAAAAATATTTTATCATTACGATAAAAATTATTGGCAATGTATTCTTTAGTAAATAAATTTAAAGGAAGGAAGTATTAATAAAAATATGTAGGTACATGAAAGATTTAAATCTCTGACAACAAATAAACCGAACTGTCACCGACAACTAACCTTTCTACGAGTACATTTTTAGTACCCGAAACAGGTAAGCCACGGCAGGCAAGCCGTCCTTTTTAAATCTCGGAAAATATGATTTTAATTTTGCTCCTGGTACATCATCCTTAGTTAATTACATTTTTATAATGTACGTTTAAAGGCCTACTTTATGCAATATCTGAATTGTTACTATGCTTGATATTTTTCAACTGAAACAAATGCATCATACAACCAACCTATTCTATCCTCCTCTATATCTGATGCTTTCAACAGAATCTTTAATATTTTGAGTTGTAACTAAAGAGTAAATGTGGATATATGCGCTAGTGTCTTATATTCTGCAAGTTCATTTACATTTTTATAATAACATTAACTAAATATACTAAACAGGTGATGCATTTCGATGATAATAAAACTCAATATAAAGTAAAAAATATATATTCACGCTACAAAAATACAAAACAAGTAGGTATATCGAGTACTATAATATTATAAAATCATATGATGCACATATTACGCTTCTTGCCGAAAAAATAGCACCATAATAGTACGTATACCTACAAAAATAATGGCACATTAAATGACTGTGTTAATAATGTAACAGTTTTTGTTTATCAGCCACTGGATATTCTTTAATTAGATTCGGGCTGAGGAGGGGCGGTCGCGAGGTATGCGAGAGCACGCTGAATGGACTCGGGTACAGGGGGAGTTGTAGGCAAATGGGCGCCTTGGGGCTGGTAGCCATTTTCATCAGCAATATAAGTCAGCTGAATGTTCTGCCCATCTTCGCCTGGGTACTGAAACTGTCCGTGCACCTCCAAAGCTTCAACGTCTCCAACCTTCTTCAAATCACCCTTTTGGTCAGCACTGATACCATTCCCGGTTTCAAATGAGTACTGGTAAGATCCATCACCGTTGATCTGACTGTCCTGACGAAGAATCGGGATGGGCTCCGGTGGCGCTTGAGGAGCAGCAAACGCCACGACCACGAATAAAGCAACCAAAGCCTGTAAAAGTAAAGCAATATTTGAAACTGCTCTTTAATTAAAAATAAAGTGTTTTTAAATAAAGAGACGTTTTCTCTTCATGTTTACGGAAAATTATTTATATACAACAAAATAACGGAGCAACTAAGAGTTTAAATTCACACATTATTCACACATGGCACACATTCCTTTTTTATAGCACTAACCACATGATTTCACTTCGATCAAACGTGAACAATATTAGAACAGTTCCAAATGATAACTTACAATTGACTTCATAATTGACCAATTGATTCTTGGGTGACTAGCTGAAGAAGCTGAAGGTGTACTGATGTATCGACTGATGACATTGCATCCTTACAGTCTGAGTATTTATAGCTGGTAAGATTTACCCACCTCCCTGCAAGTCCAATTTCGCAATTCATTACGAAGTGGTAAAATCTATGAAATAAGTAAACAGTAAATGCATTACCTCGACTCGTATATGTCAACTCAGTGCGGCAACGTTGACAACAGTTGTCAACAAAGCTAACGGCTTCTCCATTTGTTCAGTATTGACCTTGACGCAAGCAAAGTTTTTACACCCACAACATCGTGATTGCTGTTATTTGAAAGTGCTTTGATCGAATAAGCAAAATATATTCAACGAATATGTTTTTCATATTCAACGAATATTTTTTCACGAATTTTTACCAATTTCTGGAAAATGGATGAACCGAAGAAAATTATAAATTTTTTATAAAAAGTTTCTTTCTTCTTCAGTAGGTAAGTTTCAGAGATGAAAAAGTTCCACCCCTAAGGGTGGAAAAATAGGAGATAATAATTTATACCTTTAAACGAACAATTCCTATATATATATAATCGGTATCTCGGAAACGGCTCCAACGATTTTCATAAAATTTAGTGTCCAGGGAGTTTCGGGGGCAATAAATCGATCTAGCTAGAATTTATTTTTAGAAAATGTTTTTTTGTCCGCCTTTTCAGGCAATGAAAAACTGCTACAATATATGAAGGTAAATTTTGACACTGTGTTAATGATTGTAATAGCTCAAGTGAAATCATAATACCTCGGTTAGCGTGCTGTCTTCGGTCAGATTTTTTTCCTTTTTTTTTCAAGTTCCCTTTTTTTGTGAGAAAATCTATTATTTCGAGCCCCTTTTTTTAGTATTTTTTAAAAATACGAAAATTTTAATTAAACTAATTGCACTCATGATTTTTTATTCAAATAACCAGTTCAGTTTTTTCTATTGTCAATAAGATCAAAAATATTATTCATCAGTATGTAATTTGTATCTAAATGTAATTTTAAAAAAAAACCAGCAAAGCTCGGTCATCCGGGTACTGTACACTACCTATAAAAAGTTACATCCTATATACTTATAATAAATATTTTTTTAATAAAATATTTTTATTAAAAAAATATAAAATATAATATATAAATATGAAGTATTTTATTTCTTATTTCTCAGACATGCAGGTCAAATCAGCACTTAAAATTTTAATTAACTATTTCATTGGTGCTGGCGGGGATCGAACCCGGTTTGCTCGCGTACTGTGTAATTTACAGCGAGCGCTAACCATCTGAGCAACCAATATACCTATGCCAAATTATATATCATAATAGCGTAGTTATTGTATTAATTTTTTAAGTTTTTTTTTTATAAGAAAAAAACTAACTTCAAATAATATAAAAAAAATAAATTCCACATAATAGGTGTTGAAGTAGGGGTTTTACTCGTATTTCTTCAATCCATTATTTCTGAGCTCCGACGTCAGAAGCTATTATGTGGAAACTAATTATATTTTATTATCGTAAAGGTTAAATAATTTAAGATTCATAATGTCAGTCGTTAAAAGTTTTATGCCTAGTCATAAATCATCTTTAAGGAATTGTTTTTACGTAGTAGACACGCCGCGGATGTATTATGGATACAGCACAAATGAATGGGCCGGGAAAGGACCACATTTGCTCAGAACACTATAAAATGGCAGCAATATAAAACACTGCTGTCTTTCGTATAGCGAATGACAAGAGCTTATTTATTATCCAATACCTTTAAACGAGCAATTCTTGTATATATATATATAATCGGAATCTCGGAAACGACTCCAACGATTTTCATAAAATTTTGTGTCTAGGGGGTTTCGGAGGCAATAAATCGATCTAGCTAGGATTCATTTTTAAAAAATGTCGTTTTGTCCATGTTTTCAGGCAACGAAAAACTGCTACAATATAAGAAGGTAAATTTTGGCAATATGTTAAATAGGATATCGGGCGGTCCTGAAATCGTAGTACTCTGGTTCGAATCCTGTAATCGGTCCAACTTTTTTCCCTTTTTTTTTCAAGTTCCCAAAAACACGAAAATTTAAATTAAACTAATTGCATTCACGACTATTTATTCAAATAACCAGTTCAGTTTTTTCCATTATGTCGGTAAGATCAAAAAATATTATTCATATTTCATCAATATGTAATTTGTATCTAAATATAATTTCAAAACACACGATTTCCAAAAAAACAAAATACCGAGCAAAGCTCGGCCATCCAGGTACTATTAATAACAAGGCATTTCAATTTAGAAAGCAGGGGCTGATAAAGCGACTGCAATTTAGTTCTTAATCGAGGACAATCCGTCGTTCTTAAACATCTGTCTGTGATATTCACAAACCATCAGGTGAGTTATGCTTGTTGGTTGACTGCTTCGTTGGTCTACTAGTCATAAACGCGATTGCTGATTATGGGGTCCCGAGTTCGAACTCCGGGTCGGGCCAAAATCCGTTATCGGGTTTTTCTGTCAAGAAGTTATCAGCAGCAGTCTAGAGTACAGTGCCTCGCAATTAAAGGCCTTTGGTCCTGTGCTCAATCCCCGTTGAAACTGGCCGCTGCGCCGCGCTGTGACCGAAATTTCGGTATATAGAGGACATTATTATTTATTTTATGTGCTTGTTTCTCTAACACATACGAGTATGTATAAAAGTGTGTTGATTTAGTGTACGTTTATTTTATGATTGCCTTTACAAGGTAAAAGAGTTTTAATTATTCTTATAAGCATCTTAATCTTAATAGTATTAATCGTAGTAGTCGTTACTCCATAGAGCGTGGGGCCCCCTCAACACTCCGCTTACTGTTATTCTTCTAGATAAATAGCCGACCAACATTGACTTGTGATATATTTTTTCGATTTTTTTATAGAACAAGGGTGTGTGACAAACGAGAATACAGTCCAACTGATGGTAAGTGGTTTATGTTTCCCATAGACATCTACATTTATCCTCGATGAAGAATCAAAGTGAAGATGCGTTGTCACCCCTGAGGACTAAGATGGAATGCCTCGTTTCTAGTAAAAAGGGTCTCTGGTTTTTTACACTCGCCATATGATACACAGCAGCATTAAGCTACTATTTAACGCTGGTATTCTGTGAGTGCGTGGTCCTTCCCCGGTCGAGCCGACCCATTCGTACTACAACTATACTACTAATATAACTGCAGCATAGCTCTTCTACCACGTATAAAACTTGCAGGAGCGGATTTATAATTTGGAGTCACAGAAATCGTAATAATAAGACAATTGTCTTATTATTACTATTTCTGTGTTTGGAGTGGTAAGAGACTGAGGACTTTTGTTGCATTACCTTATCATCCGAAAATTTCAGAAGAAATATTTAGTCATATTCTTCTTTATCATCAGCCTGTAAATGTCTACTGCATTACATGGGCCTCTCCCAATGTAGCCCTGCATGCCAATCATAATTGTCACTGTTAACATGCAGGTTGACGACCGCAATACAAGAATTATTGCACCTTTGACGTTGCTGCCCGTAACTAATCTGGGTATTTTATGTCTGCTCTGACGTAACTGATATATTTATATCGCCATATATCGAACGCCATTTGATTTTCCTAGCTTTTCCCATAATCATGTGTTACTTCATCCCCAGGACGTAACGGTGTGATGCATTCAGTTACGCCACCACTACACGTCAAACGAATTATCGTTCCCTCCTTATTACTGAAGTTTGCAATGCGAGAAACCTTAGGCCCGGTTTATATTTTGAGAATGACAAGTGCGAGTGGCAAGTTCAACTGACAAATGACAAGTGCTTACTGCGTCTGAACAGGCACTGATTAGTGATAAGTGAGAATAAAATTCACACTAAGGACTTGTCATTTGTCAGTTGCACTTGCCCCTCGCACTTGTCACTTCTCAAAATGTAAACCGGACCTTATGTATTTATAAATTGCGGTAACGAGGGCTAATAATGTTTCACACACCAGATGTCGCTAGTTGGGACTGAGGTGAAGATTTTTGTTACACAATAACATTAAATTGAGAAGCTATTTTTAGTTAAAATTTAAAGTTGTTTTGACGGCTCCGTGGAGCAGTGGCTTAGCAATGAGTTACAGCGCTAAGCACCGCGATTTCGAATCCCACACGGAACAAATATTTGTATGGCCTACAATTAATTGTTCTGGGTCTGGATGTTTTTCCTTGTGAAATTTATGTTTGTAAACTGACCCCACGATACAGAAGAAAATTCTAGTGCGGAGGTAACGTTTTTTTAAAGAAAAAAAAGTTTATCTGTTTCTACAGTATTTTACTAATACACAAACAAAGCCTCAGTGGTTTTCTCATTAATTTCTTGCACATTTTTGCTCCTTTATATTATAATTTTCCGTATTTTATGAATATCCGTAGTTTGGTTTATTCATAATCCAATAAATATAAATATAACTTTGTTACAGAAAGCAATATTTACTCATACATTTTCCTAACAAATTAACTTCACTACTGTGAAATTTGTCAAATATTTCACCCCATTCTAAAATGACAGACCTGGTGGCAGAAAAAGTGACAGATTAAAGGGGCTAAAAATGTGCTAAAAAGTAGTTACGGCTCGTTATTACTCTTTTCCTCAGTTTCTTTTCATATTTTCTTAGTGTATTTGCTACGTCACTTAGTTTTATTTGAAATATAATATTTAACTGATACCCCAACCTCGGTGTGTAAGTAATCCGTACTGTAGTTTAAAAATATTATAAACTAGCTGGTACTCGGCACGTTGTTGCCCAGTAAAAGTAATAATAACGGAAATATCATTTTAAATTTGAAAGATTTGTTATTGTTTTATTAAATAAATTTTTCGTCGTGTTTCAAATAAATTTGTCAGTATAATACGCACTCCACATGCTGTTAATTGTACTATGTCTATAACCTTCGCATAAGTGCAAGCAATAAGTTGACAAAGTTTTCGCGCTATTTGATAAACGGTATGACATC